GTAGATTGCTTTTGTTACAGCATACACACACACACACATACACACACACACACAAACGTGGCAAAGCAAGAGATCAGAGCTAACAAGGGGCTGACAATAGTAGCCCCAAATGCAGTTTAGGCTTTACTTTGAAAAGGTCACTAAAGGGCCTGAGAAAAACACACTAGATTGGGTAGATGGGTGGGTAGACTGGGGAAGGATTTAAAGGGTGCAGGACCAGGTGGTGGGGAGACTAGGTAGGAGAAGGCACAGCAGTTGGGAGAGGTAACAGTGTATATGGAATGGGGGGAGGGTCTGACCTGGGCAGGGGGTTGATTTGAGATTAATGAAGGTAAAACTAATTATGGGAAATGAAGACCAGGAAGCAATCATGGGGTGTGCCTAGCACCACCAATGGCACCACAGGTAGAGAGTACTGGCGTAGAGAAGGCAGAGATAAAGGTGGCCAGGAGTTTTGAAACACAGTGCAATTAACATAGTTTGTATGATTTATCCTGTCTTCAAAAATTATAAAAGTTAAATTGAGGGTTTAAAATCAAAGTGGCAGGGCCGGCCAAATAAGTCAGTGGATTAAAGTGCCTGCAAGCAGGCACAGGGGGCGGGGGTTGCATCCCCGGGCCTGTTGCTGGCCCTGCCCCTGGGGTGCACAGAGACTACAATTGAGACTGGGTGTGGTAGCACATGCCTCTAATCCCAGCTCTTGGGAGGCTGTAAACAGGAGGATCACCATGAGTCCGATCAAGTAGTGAGACCCTGAACACCCTGTAGACCCTTCCCTAAAATACAAATAATAAATAAATAAGATAAATGTGGCAAATGCTCTTAGGAAAGGTGATCACTAGTTCATCAAAGCACCCTTTCTCACATGCCAGGCCACACCCATAGCACCCTTTCAACCTACTGGCCCATCCCTTCATGGCAGCCATGTATGTCTGAACATAGCACCAAGGCCACTATCAGTCAATGGAAAGTACGTGTTCTGGACACGTGCCCAAACGAAAAGCTTGAGAGCCTTTCTTTGAAAGATACAAGTCTTGCATATGCAATTTACAGATATCTTTGAAGTATTACACCTCACCAAATTTCAATAAGGAAGAAGACACTTATTTTGAGTATCAGAATCATTGGAAAGTTTTCCCCTACCTCCAAGAGACTCCTAACTTAGTTGAAGGTCAAGTCACTTCGGAACATTGATCAGTGGTGATTAACAGAATCCATTTAATATTTATTAATTGCTACTGTGTGATGGACCAGGGTTTTTCTTAGTCTGTCTTCAGTGGGACACAGAGCTATCCCATGCTCTGAGGAGGGTTTCAGGAGTATGAGAAATTTGATGGGTTAATGTGAGATGATTTGGACTATGCCAAGTAAAGAAATCAATTTGATTTAGTTTAGCCCAGTGTTTTTCAGAGATATTTGACAAAGGAAACCTTCTATCACATGAAAGAAGTCAACAGACTTGAAATTAAAATATTTCAATCTTCAAAACACTTACTTTTCAAATGATAGAAACGTAAAAATCACACAGCCCCAACACTGTGTGAGCTAAAATCAGATCCTGGAACCCCGCACGTGCTGGCCACTGAACCAGGAGGGATGGCACACCCCTGTAATTTTAGTGCAGGGGGCACTGAAACAGGAGGATCACTACGAGTCTGAGCTGTTAGCGAGACCCTGTACCAAATAAATAAATATATAAATAATTTAAAAATAATACTAAAATAAAAATAAAATCAGAGCTTCCCTTTTCAGCTTCAACGCATCATTCACAGGACCTCAAAGGGAACAATAAATATTAAAGAACAGGTTGAATCTGGCTACATATTTAAGGGAATCTTGGAGTTATTTTCAACATTCTTACTCAATGGACCACTTAGAGCTTTCTGGGGTGTCCCCATCAATCTCACCCTACTTTCCAAAGTCTCCCACCACTGAGCCCTGCTTTTTTATCCTTTATAAAACATTTCAATTTCTGCCTAAAGAGTTTCTACCCACAGTTGATCTGTTCTGTACAGTTGTTCATGCTCAGTGCTTCCCTTAGGAAATGTCCTACCTTTGAGTCTACCTTGAAAGCCTGCTTCTTGTGCCTAGGGATCTATGAGATTTAAGGGCATCAAAAACAAAGGCCTAAAGACCAGAATTATTCTAATCTCACTGTTTCGGGAGAATAAAAACATTATTCCACTTATTCTGTTTTTTAATTTTTTTTTAATGTATTTGATACAGTATCTCACTACACAGCTCAGACTAGTAGTGATCCTCCTGTTTTCAGCCTCCCCAGTGCTGGGATTACGGGCACATAACACCACACCCAGACTCAGTGGCCAGCTCAGCATACCCAGGGGTGGGGTTGGCGCAGCATACAGTACCAGGGATTGGGACTGAACCCCAGTTCCTGCACTTGCCTAAGCAGACGCTTAGTCAGCTGAGCTATCTCACCAGCCTCCACTTATTTTCCTGAAACAGTGAGATTAGAATAATTCTGGTCTTTAGGCCTTTGTTTCTGATGCCCAGAAATCTCATAGATCCCTGGGCACAAGAAGCAGGCTTTCAAGATAGATTCAAAAGTAGGACATTTCCTAAGGGAAGCACTGGGCATCAACAACTGTACGGAACAGATCAACTGTGGGTAGCAGCTCTAGGTAGAAATTGAAAAAGAATGATCCCAAAATATATGTGAAAATATAATGAACACAAGAAGGCCAAACCAATCTTGAAAAAGAGCCAAGGGAAAGCCTACACTTCATGATTTCAAAATTTATTATAATTTACCTTAATTGAAATAGTATGAAATCAGCATATGGAAAGACAAATCAACAGAACAGAAATACGACCCTACAAATAACCTTTACATTTACAGCCCTTGAAAAAGATGTCAAGGTGATGCAATAGGGGAGAGTAAGACCTTTTCAGCAGATCATATTAGGACAACTGGCTATCTGCATGCAAAAAGGTTAATCAGGAAGGTCACACCATGTGAAAAACAATGAACTAAAAATGAAGCATGGACCTAATGCTTCAGAAAGAAAAAAAAACATGGAAGATATCTGCAATTTTTTTTGTACCAGGAATTGAACTCAGGACCTTGAGCTTGCCAGGTAGGCACTTGTGCCACTGAGCTATCTCCCCTGCAGCTCTGAGTTCTTAAGCATCACACCAGAAGCATGGTCCACGAAAAAAAAAAAAATAAAATAAGAAAATGGACTTCATCAAAACCCAAAGGTTGGTGTCTTTTGTGTTTCACAAAACATCTATGGGGTAGCAAGATAGTTCAGCAGACTAAGTGCCTGCTTAGGCAAGCTCAGGGACCTAATTTGATCCCTAACACCACTTACCACACCAGTCCCTTCCCAGCACTGGGGAGGCTGAAAACAGGAGGATCGCTATGAGTCCAAGCTGTGTAGTCAGACCCAGGACCAAATACATAAATTAAAAAAAAAATGTATAAAAAAGAGAACAGTAAGCCACCATTTAGGAGAAAATATACACAAATATTTCTGGTAAAAGATTTGTACCCCGGATATGTAAAAACCTCTTCAAATTAATAATAAGATATACAACTCATTTCAAAATGAGCAACAGATAAAAAGATAGTTCACAAAAGAATAAATTTGAATGGCTAAAAGCTCATAAGAAGATGTTCAACATCATTAGTCATAAAAGAAATGCAAATTTAAAATGAGATACCACTTCATGCCCACTACAGTAGACTCAAAAGACAAAATATTACTGGTAAGCACATGGAAAACTGGAATGTTCATATGTTGCTGGTGGGAATTTAAGATGGTGTATTCAGTTTGACCATGTCCTTAAAAATTAAACATAAATTATTCCATGACCAGGTATCTTAGTCACTCTTCTCTCATTCCTGGGACAAATACCCAACACCCAAAAATGAAGGAAAGAAAAGTTTATTTAGCTCACAGTTACTGGAGGCTTCGGTCCATACTCAGCTCGCTGCAAAGCACAAGGCAGAGAGCAACCTTCCTTGGTGGCAGCACAGAGCAGGAGCAAAGGGCAGGGCAGCAGCTCAGGCAGCCAGCTGGCCTCTCTCCCCTCCTCACATTGTAATGCAGATTACCTGCCCCAGGGCAGGTGCAGCATCCACACCCGCAATAATCAATCAGGAACTCCAGAAGCCACCCATGACTGCCTGAGGCTTTGGGGGGGAACTGGACACAACCTGTAATACCATGAAAATCTTGTATTTGGGAAAGAAATGCAAAGTCCTCTCACACACATGACTGCATGAGGCTTTGGGGGGGGGGGGGACAAATAGATACAAACTATTACAACATGCAATTTCTCCCTAAGTATTTACCTCACAAACAAAAAGATATAGATTGATATATACTGTGAATACACACACACACACACACACACACACACATAACATTACTCATAATATCTAAAAGGTGAAAACAATTCACATTTCCATCAACCAGTAAATGGATAAACACAATGTGGTACAGCCATGCAGTGAAATACTGTCTACCATTTAGAAGCAACAAACTACTGACATAATCCACAGCATGAATCAGTATAAAAAATAAAAGGATAAGTGAAAATAAACAAATGCAAAAGATTAAATACTATATAATCTCATTTATATGAAATGCTCAGAAAACACAAATCTATAGAGACAGAGAGCAGGTCAGTGATTGCCTAAAGCTGAAGGGATATTTTTAGGTAAAAGAAATATTCTAAATTTGGATTCTATGGTGTCTGCAAAACCCTTTAAACACACTAAAAATCACTTGAAGCACAAGAATTTTATGGTATGTAATTTTGTCTCAAAAAAGCTGTTAAAAGTTTAAAAACCTTATTTTTTCCTACATAATGAGGGAAAATGTGTAGGCAGGCAGCCACGTCCAGACGGTGTCATGGAGTCTTTGTAGTCATTAGACACCTAGCCTGTCTGCTTTTGCCTCAGCCTCCTTCCCACCAGATTCTTCTTAGCTAATAGAGCAGAAAGAGTAGAGAGCAAAAAAGACATGACCATTGTTTCTTGACCTTCTGGATTAGACTAACAGCAGTATCTGTGTTTATCGGATTAATATCTAATATGTCCTCTACTTGAGGACAATATAGTAAATGGATTTTTTTAGAGCAGGGAAGTGGAGTAGAAGTTGCTTCATCCACTTCCCACACTGAACTGGTCTTGTAGTATCTCTAGAAATGGTGTCTTTCCTTGGTAGAATGTAAGAAATACTACCTGACCTACTAGTCCGGTGACGGTGTGGACATTTCTATGAAATCCCACACAATGATTCTTACATGACCATTCTTAACTGCAAGGGAGTCTGGGAAATGTAGGGACATGTTTCTGCCTCTAGTGAAATCAAGGGTTTGTTAATAAGATTGAATGGAAGAGTGGATATTGAGTAAAACAGCTCATAGTTTCTGGAAAAATATTTCTTCTGTTAATGTGCATATAATAGAGACAGCACTATTTATGTCACACCACAGTAATTATAAGGCAATGGACAAGAACATGCTTATTATTAATGGTTTCTTATTAAAATGAAAATGAAAACAATTCTTATTATGAACATAACAGCTTTGGAAAAGCTATCTGGAAGTGAGACTAATGTTCATTATTATTCATAGTTTTATTTCTAAGACAAAAATTTGTTGGGTATGGTGGCACACACCTGTAATTCCAGCACTTGGGAGGCTGAGGCAGGCGGATCACTGTGAGTTCAGAGGCAGCCGAGGCTACATAGTGAGTTCAAGGCCAGCCTGAACTACATATGAGACCTTATCTCAAAAATAAAAAATAAACAAAAAATTAAACTTGAGACCTAGGATATTTGGTGTAGTAGAAAGAGCAGACAGGATTCTTGAGTGAGAAATGTCTGGACTTCTAAACTTGATACATGCTCTAGGTACTGTGTATGCCTGGAGTAAATTTCATAATTTAGCTAAGCCTCAAATTCCTCATCTTTGCAAAAAGAATAATACCTGCCTTGTGGTGGTGTTCGGCAGACTTCCTAAGACAGCAGGTGTGAAGCGCCTGTGTGCTAGTGACCAGGCCTTCCTCACTCATGCTGCACACCCACACGGGCCCAGGGGGGCTGCACGCGCCAGCAAGAAACAATGGGTGCTTTTTTTTTTTGCCAAAATTAAACAGCTGTCTAGCCATCGTTTCTCCACATTTTCCAGGCTGATTATTCTTCTCAGGAGAATTCCTAATTAGAGATTATCTCATTCAACACCACACACACACACACACACACACACACACACACACACAATCTGGGGAAAGGGAAAGCAAAACAAGAGAAAGAAGCAAAGGAAAAAAAAAGATAAAACTTAAAAAATACCCTGTGTTTTTGTATCTAAAGGGTTATAATCTTTTTAGCAGTTAGTTCTTTTACAAAACAGAGCGAGCACTTAGAACAAGCGTGCCAACCCAGGTTGCGTACTGAGCACACGGCGGAAAGTGAGACTGCGCCAAGCGCTGTGAGCGCAAGTGTCCGGGTGGCCGGCGGTGGGAGCCCCAGGACGTCTACACTTCAAACCTCACTCAGCCACGCCAATTTAGGATTTCTCCCATCATTTTCTTTCACAAGCCCAAACACTGCCTAAAATAAGACACTATTCAAACTGAACAACTGCACTGGATACAACTTTTAAGTGGTTTGCCCCTGTAAGTCTTGGTTAACAATGAATGAATAAAATTTGCATTTTTACAAGAAAGCTGTGGATCTCAGAGAAGCACTCCAAAGCAAAATTGTGCAATTTGCCAACTTAAAAGTAGAACAAATATTTGTGATCTATCTTCCCTGTCTATAAAACATCAGCACTGTAATGGTGGCAATTTCAGGAATAAACAGCGTTGCGTTTATCTAAGTGAGGGCAAAACGAGCGCTGTGCTATACAACACAGCATCACAGTGGTCTTTTCCAGGCTTTGGTATCAGTGATTTAATTTTCTTCCCTCTCACAATCCCTCTGATGACTAAGCGACTTACTGGTTTGTCTTCTCCTCCCTGTAACAAGAGGATGGGAAGGGTGGTGAGGGGTGATCTCACAGCGTGCCACGCGGGGGAGGGTGGCCGTGGGGAGCAGCACAGCTGTCTCCAGCAGCAGCCGCAGCTCAGCCTGCCAAAGAGGAGCAGCTGTCGGGACCTGTACAGCTGTGGCTGCCAGTCCTTCCCAGAGCTCCCTCAGACCCCACAATGAGAAATCCTGTTTGTCCTTCCACGTCCGCCATAACTGATGGCAGTTAATTTCTATCCTAGCTTTGTGCAAATTTTCTCCTAGCCTGAGACTTGCCTTGCTTCACACTTGAATTAGAAATCAATTAAATGCAACACAAAACAAAAACACAATCTCTTTTCTTTATAGTCATCTTGTAGGATAATTATCACATTCCTAGCTTTCTCCTTATCTTCCCATAATCCAAATCCTGGAGCGCAGTTAGAGTGCTGTCACCCACGTACGCAGATTAAATAAGGACCCCATCTAACTGAGCTCCAACTATACTCAAAAAGCAGAGCTCACAGCGGCAATGCATGCTGAAGTGAGCAGAAGCCCTGCACAGCGAGTACTTCCATTGCCATCTGACCATGCCATGGTTACAACACAACAGAAAAACCACTGTTTACATCTATACTCTGGGTTGTGGGAATACTTGTACACATTTGCACAATATGTAAAACACATTTGCTCCGCTTTCTCACTGTGAGTAGATCTGATATCTACAAACAAAAGCATAGAGGCAGCGAGATGAGCGCCCCCTGGGCTCTTCGTTTACTCGTGTCAGCGTTCACCAAGCCTGTAGTGCCCTGTGTGGGGAGCTGAGTATTTCACACACAGGCCTTCCCCTCCTTTGGAGAGGAGAAACACTACACAGCAGATGACACTACACAGGTGTAACAAGGGTCACTCTTAGGATGCTGGTGTACAAGGTCCTGGGAGTCCTGTATGGTGGGTCTTGAAGAGTCTTTGGTGGGCTTCATATTACACTTGTTACACATTCCAGTGCTTGTGGTAGTTTTGTTATGTTCCCAGTGCACTTGTATACTAGACTGGACATGACCACTGAGGCTCTCCTGCGAGAGGGAGCCAGCCTGTCTGGATTTTAGATCCACTGCTTTACTCAAGACACTAGAGGTCAGCAGCCCTCCAAAAGTTATGCATCAAGTGCCAAAGCTCCTATCCAGGGATGCTGCTGGGGGTGATTCTCAGAGCAAGGAGTCTAACCAGTACTGCAGTTGCTTTCCTAACCCCACTTCTTTTCTTTTAGTAGCACTTTAACCTCTATTTAGCAATCCTCAGCTCCTTCTACAAAGCCCAGGTGCTTGGGGAAGCTGATTTGGAAGCAGGACTTGTGGAGTGGCCCAATTTAATGTGCATTATTCCACCCCTGGCTGCATGTATTGATTTAAGGATAAACATGTGGCCCTACTTGGACAAATAAAACTGAAGTGAAATCTGCCAAGCATGACTGACTCTTCTGAGAAAGCTTCTGAAAGTGACTTTATTTCTCCCTAAATGGGGATGAAGGATCTCAAACCCCTGGACATACTTATCTGGCAACCACCAAGCAGTACAGGGTGGGGGAGAGGAGGGCTATAAAATGAAATTAACTGTAAGCAACAGAGCAGAGAGGTTTGAAAAGTGCAAGAACAAGTTTTCTAGTGAAATCCTATTGGGTAAAAGAAGCAAATATTGTGAAGTCGTCCTCCCCACCCCCACCCCCAGGGGGAGATGCTGAGAACCAGGCTCTGGCCCCCGCACATGAGCCCATCCCCTGAAGCTTTTGCTACCCAGATTCCACACTCCAAATCAAACATCTCATTCTTGCAAAAGCAGGCTGAGTTTGTTTTCTTACTCGTGTCTGAAAGCATCCTAAGTAACACACTGATGCACAAAGACAGGAACTACTATCAAGTTTTGTGAAATGTAATACAAGCAATCTACCAGCTACTACTTATTAAGTTTCACGCCAGCTCACCCTATGCTGCAGAGCTCCTCGGCTAATGATTAAGAGGCTTGCAGATCTGGAGTACTTGATTGAGAAGAGCAGAGTGAAGAAGCATTGTATTTTCAAGGCCTCTCTTTCTATTGGGCAAAGAAATCCTTTCTAATAAATTGGTTCCATTTTCTTCACATAACTTCAGCATTGGACATTTTGAAACACATTGATTGTATACTGATTAAAATCTATTTGAAATGTATTGATTCATTTAGAAATGATTGAGTATATTCCCCTACACTGCAGGGACTAGCACCAGGTACCAGCCTTTGAAAAGCAATAAATAAGGAGAGACTAGGCCTCCTGCTCCAGCTCTTTGCTACCAACCTCCCTCACCTGCTTAGCCCTAAGCAGTCCCTACGTTCCCCAAGCATGAAATAGCAGCATTTCCTTTAATTCACTAGAAAGGGGTGTTAACTGCAACCAAATAAAGATGCAATGAGAGGGTTAAAGGAAGCTGAATACAGTTAGCCTCCCTATCGGTGAATTCTGCATGCATAGACTCAACCAACTGCAGATCAAAAATGTTTAAAATGAAATCGTTGGGACTAGGGAGATGGCTCAGTAGAATAAGGACTTCCCTCGAAAGCACAAGGGCCTGAGTTCAACCCCAGGTTCCACCAAAATAAATAAATAAATAAATAAATAAATTAAATAAAATGAAATCGCAGTGGTACTGAGCACGTGCAAAACTTTCCGTCATCATTCCCTAAGCAACACAGAACTATTTTCATAGCACTTGCATTGTATTAGTAATTAAGTAATTAAAAGAAGATTTAAAATCCATGGGATTATAACAAAAAATAAAGTATGTGTGATGGTATGGATGAGTTGTATGTATATGCTACACCTGGAGCACCTGTGGATCTTGCAATCCGGGAGTCTTGGAACCAGTCCTCCAAGGATCCCAGAGGATGACACAACTCTGCAAGACAGGAAAAGTTCACTCTGCCTTTCTATTTTTCTTAGGTCACTATTCAAAAAGAAACACAGAAAGGATCCTTGTAGCTTCTTCCATTTCTCTTTAATGTGAGGCTATACTGATAAAGGAAATGAATTTTGGAATCCATCAGACCTTAGTTTAAATTCTGGCAATTCCTCTTAGTAGTCGTTTGACTCCATCTCTGATCTTCTGCATCTTTAAAACAGGAAGGGACATAGCCTACCTTTCAGGTTGCTCTCAAGATTAAGTGTGACAACAAATGTA